AAATGCAATAAGCATTGTTGTAACTGTTTTTGCAGAAAAAGAACCCCCTTAGTTAAATATGAAGTCTGTCCCTGAGAAATATGGTTTTAACATCCCTATAAGGAAACTCAAGCCAAATTGGAACTCAGTCACTGGGAGTCAGGAAGGCATTTTAGCATTTCGGAAACTCCTCCACAGAAAATATGACTCAACACAATTTTAGAAAACATGGTAGCCACTTACTGGCTGTGGTGAGGATGATCTCAAAGTCAATCTAATGACTTTAAAGGAACAAGTCATAAAGTAAGAGGTGCTTAGGATGACCACAGTTAGTCATGAAAGTATTTTCTGACCTAGGACATATTGATGTGATTTTAAATTGTCTACTGACGGCTGAATTTCTTGATACATATGGTTTCCAGGCCTTTAGCATCAAAGAAATTTATCTGAGAAGGTGCTTTACTTAATGTCTTGGGGAGTTCTTTGTTTTAATATTGACAATGACGATAATAAACATGGGGAGGAGTGGGTGTGTTCCTGCTCATAACTCTCAGTTCCTGGCCTGTCAAGAAAGGAAGCCGGGGCTGGAACTCAAGGCAGGAACCTGGAGGCAGAAGTTGAAGCAGAAGCAATAGAGGCTTACTGGCTTCTTCCAGTCTGCCTTACTCACTCTTTTTTCCAACACCCATGGCTGGCACCACCCACAATGGTCTGAGTCTGTCCATATCAATCAGTAATTAAGAAATCTCCCTATGTGCTTGCCTACACGCAATCTTATGGAAGCTTTTCTCAATTGAGTGTCTCTCTTCCCAAGACACTCTAGGCTGTGTCAAGTTGATATGAAAGGAACCAGGACAAGAGGTGGACAATTGACTCCTTGTCAGTTTGACACACTAATGCAACACTAGTTAACAGTTACAGTTCCTTTTCTGTTCACCCCCAGCTCCCAAATTCCCAACATAGATAGTGTAATTTAAATGTTTCTTAGTCTTTAAATTTTCATTTTCTTTAAAACTCAGTCTTTTAACAATATCCAAAGTTCAAGCCTCTCTAAAATACATAAGAAATACTCCCCAGAGGTGCTTCACTAGGTTAGCCACCATGGGCTGACTAGAAACTAATTAATGATCTAGGTAAAAAATTATAACCACTTGTTGTTGGGTTGTTTTTCTGTTTATTTGTTTGTTTGTTTGTTTGTTTTATAGTCTTTTAATTTTTTTGGGGGGGCTGCTTTCCAGCTCCCAAATAAATCACACACAGATGCTTATCATTACTTGTAAATGCCTGGCCTTAGCTTGACTTATTACTAGGCAGCTTTTCTTAATTTAAATTATCCCATCGAATTTTCACCTCTGAGATTTTACCTTGCTCTATTTCTCTATGTCTTTCTTTACTTCTTACTCCATGGCTTTCTGTGTAGTTAGGTGGCTTGCCCAGATGTCCTCTTTCTTCTTCTCTTGTTCCTTCTTCTCCTTGCATTAATCCTCTCTGCTTGCCAGCCCCATCTACCCTTTCCTGACAAGCTATTGGACATTCAGCTCTTTATTACACCAATCAGGTGTTTTAGACAGGCAAGTAATACAGCTTCACAGAATTAAACAGATGCAACATAATAGAATTAAAATACCTTTGCACCAGTAAGCAAATGTTCCACAGCCTGAAAAAATGTAACACACCTTAAAATAATATTTCACAACAGTCACTATGAAAGAACTAGATTACTAACCCCTGTCATTCTCAAACTATATTGAGTTAAAACCTATAATGTACCTAAATTTCTCTTTTTTTCCTCACTGAATAAAATCACCGTTTTTTTTTTATAAACAATACACTTTGATTCGTTTTGTACAGTTCACTATCCTAATTAGTTTTCTGTTGATAAGAGTAAGCCATGAACAAAAGTGGCTAGGAGAAAAGGGGTTTATTTTGCTTATAGGTTACCCCCATCGTCTGGGGAAACCAAGGAGAATACAAAGGCAGAAACCTGAGGGCAGGAAAGGGACAGAGACCAAAGAGGAAATGCTGCTACTGGATTGCTCCTCATGACTGGCTCAGCTTGTGGTTTATGGAGCCCATGACCATCTGCCCAAGAGTGGTGCCAACCGCAGTGGACTGTGCTCTCGTCCAAATCAATTTTTGATCAAGAAAAGTCCCATAGATCTGCCTGCAGGTCATTCCATTGGAAGCATTTTCTCAGATAAAGTTCTCTTTCCCAATGACTCTAACTGGTTTCTAGTTGACAAAACAAACAAACTACCACCACCACCAACAACAACAAAATACAACTTATTCTTCACAATTACCATGAACACTCTTGCTGACCTGCCAAAGTAAGAACAAGCCAATACCGAACAGTTGTAAGACAACGTTTATCTCTATCAGGTAATGGGAACAGCATAGAAACAGAGATTTATAAATGTGCTATCAAGCCCAATGAAACACCGCTGCTTTTACTTAAAATATAAGCTGTAAATGAATTTTATTACTCTTAATTGTGTGTATGTGTGTGCATGTATGTGTGTGTTTATGTTGTTAGTTATGAGTAACGGTTTGTGTGAATTTTCAGGTGCCCAGGAAGGCCAGAAGAATCAGATGCCCTGGAACTGGAGTTGCAGGCAGTTGTGGTCATTTGAGGTGGGTGCTGTGAACCAAGTCTGGGTCCTCTACAAGAGTAAAATATGCTCTTGACTACAGGATCATCTTTCCAGTCACGCCCTTGTTTTTATCATAGTATTTTTGTTCCTAGTAGTAAATATTTTTCCTCCTCAAAACTTGAGTTATTTCCTGTTATAATCTGCACATCCAATCAAACAGCCTTGGTTCTAAGGCTAAAATTGCTTAACATAATCAGTAACTGGCTGCTTGACTATATTTCAGCATGAATACAGTATACTCCAAAGGCATATATTTTGCATCATATTTGGATTGTTTAAGGATACAGTCAATAAGACAAAAGGGAAGCCTACTGCATGGGAAAAGATCTTCACCAACCCCACATAAGACAAAGGACTGATCTCCAAAATATATAAAGAACTCAAGAAATTAGACATTAAAATTCTAAATAACCCAATTAAAAATTGGGGTACTGAACTAAACAGAGAATTCTCAATAGGAGAATCTAAAATGGTCAAAAGATACTTAAGGACAGATTCAACTTCCTTAGCTATCAGGGAAATGCAAATCAAAACAATTTTGAGATACTATATTACACCTGTCAGAATGACTAAAATCAAAAACACTAATGATATCTAATGCTGTAGAGGATGTGGACCATTCCATTGCTGGTGGGAATGCAAACTTGTGCAAACACTTTGAAATCAATGTGGTGGTTTCTCACAAATTTGGGAGTCAACCTACCTTAAGATCCAGCAATACCACTCTTGGGAATATACACAAAAGATGCTCAATCATACTACAAAAGAATTTGTTCCACTGTGTTCATAGCAACATTATTTGTAATAGCCAGAACCTGGAAACAACCTAGATGCCCCTCAATCGAAGAATGGATAAAGAAAGTGTGGTACATATGCACATTAGAGGACTACTCAGCGGTAAAAATCAGTAACATCTTGAATTTTGACCGCAAATGGATGGAATTAGAAAACACTATCCTGAGTGAGATAACCCAGACCCAAAAATATGAATATGGTATGTACTCACTTATTAGTTCATTATCCTAGAGAAGCTAAGTAATAAGGTGAACCCAACGAAATACATATATAGATCCACCTGGAAATTGGAATCAGACAAGATTGCCTGACCAAATTCGGGAGCAGGGGGTGAGGATAGATGGAAGGGGAGAAGGGGAAGGGAGAAGAGGAGAGTTTGGGAGAGCTTGTGTGAATGGGATAGTTGAGATGGAGGAAGGGCAGATATGAGAGCAAGGAAAGAGATATCTTGATTGAGGGAGCCATTTTGGGGTTAGCAGGAAACCTGGTTCTAGAAAAATTCTCAGGAATCCACAAGGATGGACCCTTAGCTAAAACCCTAAGCAATAGAGAGGGTGACCAAACTGGCCTTGCCCTGTAGTCAGACTGATGATTATCTTAAATATCACCATAGAACCTTGGTCCAACAACAGATGGAAACAGAGGCAGAGAATCACATTGAAGCGCTGGACTGAGCTCCCAAAGTCCAGTTGAAGAGCAGAAGGAGGGAGAGTATGAGCAAGGAAGTCAAGACTGTGAGGGGTTCACCCACTGAGGCAATGTTCCTGAGCCAATGGGAGCTCACCAACTCCAACTGGACTGGGAGTGAATGAACATGGGATCAAATTAGTCCCTCTGAATGTGGTTAACGGTTGGGGCAGACTGAGGGGCCAATGACAATGGCACTGGGATTTGTCTCTAATGCATGTACTGGCTTTTTGGGATCCTTTTCTCTTTGGATATATACCTTGCTCAACCTGGATGTAGTGGGGAGGGCTGCAGACTTTCCACAGGGCAGGATGCCTTGCTCTCTCTTAAGATTGGAGGGGTGTGAGGGAAAGGGTGTGTGGAGGGAGTGGGAGGGAAGTGGGAGGAGGGGAGGAAGTGGGAATTTGGATTGGTATTTTTTTAAGATTTATTTAATTATTATGTACACAACATTCTGCCTCCATGTATGCCTGCATGCCGGAGGAGGGCGTCAGATCTCATTGCAGATGGTTGTGAGCCACCATGTGGTTGCTGGGAATTGAACTCAGGACCTCATGAAGAGCAGTCAGTGCTCTTAACCACTGAGCCATCTCTCCAGCCCCTGGATTGGTATTTTTTTTAAAGTAACAAAAAAAAATAATAATAATAAAAAATAAAATTTGTTTTGGTATCATACATTTTTCCTTTGGTTCCCAAATACATAATAATGTTTAATAAAGAGTCACATATCTGTTTAAAATTATTAGACTTGTACTAAAACAGAAAACATCAAAAAATACTTTAAATATCTTTGAAATTTTGCCATGCAATATCTGGGTTGAAATGACGTGGAAACATGAATGTGAAGATTGAAAATAAGTTCATAGATTTTTTTCCCATTTTCAGGTTCCCCGTATATGAACACGTGGGAATCCAGAGTTAACACCCAGGAGGGCTCCAAGTTCTTACATGAAGGAACAAGAACAAGCTATCCTTCCCCTTCAACGACAGGAATGGAATGATTCAGAGGGCAGCTCAAGTCCAGACATTCCTCCTAACCAAATCACCAAGCAGGAACACCCACTCCATGAGGGAAGCAGAGAGTACTTGACTGGCTTACAAAGGAACTTACTGTGACACCCTTATCTTAGTGGCATGAATAAGCTGCCACTGACAACCAGTCAAGGCGATTGTGCAACGTGGTTATACGCTAGAGAGCATTTAATGTCACATCAACCCATTGCATGCATTAAGAGACTCGCAGTGTTGTCTTAGCAGTTTCCTGCCTGCTGTGGAATGGTGTCCTGGTAGGAGAAGCATATGAACATTCCAGTCCTAACACCACTCGTTCTTTATTCCGAGTCTAAGGTGGGTGCAAAGTCAGAGTTTCTGTCTTAACTCCAAGCAAGGCTGAGAAAGCAAATCAGTTCTGCAGTTTTATGACATGAGGTACATGAGCCAGATGAAGAGTTTCTTGAAACATCGATTAGGCGATGGACTGTTGAAAAAAAAATAAAATGTGGAAAATATTTCATGAAGTGGACATCTGTGACCAAAAAGTGTTAGCAGCCATCCTTTCTTAAGTTCAATATAAGGAACCATTACCTATTTCATTCACAACAACCCAAATTCTGCTTATTATAAGTCAAAGGTGTCTAAATAAAATCATTTTGTTTCATCTCATTTGGTTCTGATTTATTCTTTCTATGCATTTCCAAGATGTTCCTATACCAAATTTTATCTATTAGACTTTTACTTATATACCATCCTATACCAGAAGCAGTATCAGATAACCCAAACTTCAGGGCTCAAGGATTTTATTAAGCTAACTCTACACTGTTAGTCATTTAGTCCTTGGGTGTGTCTCCTTTTGGAGTCCTTTGAAAGGGCAGTTGGAAGTCAACAGCAAACTTAAGAAGGAACAGAGATTTCCATATAAATTGTTGCATATGAACATAGATCCCACTTTGGTGTCTCAAAACAAAGCATATCAAGTTTTGGTTATTGTATTACTGACGTTAGCTTCTTTGGAGCAACTTGCCATACCTAGTCAGCAGCTCTTTCTTCTCTTTCATTCCTGTGTAGCTTTCAAATAAAAACCTCCATGGTCTTTGAAGCATTGCCGTCTGCTGCAGAGACTTACCTGTTCTAGATTTTCTGAGTATAGTTCCTGACCCAGACCCCAACCAGTCTCTTCTTCAAAGATTCATAGATTTTTCCCAGTAAGAACAGTATATGATACCTTTGTTTTCTATTTCTGTGTTAGAGTCATTCCACATTACAGGCATAGACAGACACACACACACACACACTTGCATACACACATCCACGCACACACAATTACGAGATGGGGAGAGGAAGAGAGAAAGCCATGAATTCTGTAGTTCAGAAATCTGGGCATGCAATTTATGAGTCTTCCATTAATGTATCAAAAATCAGAAAAATCAGAATTAGAAGATGAAGGTAAGCTCCCTTTTCAGCGTCAGACGTTTGTCTCCAAACTCATCTAGATTGCTGTCAGAAAGGACAGTCCAGCCTCTTGAGGGCTGTCAATGGGAGGTCAGGACCAGCTCCCGCCCCTGAACTCCTCTCTAAAGACACTCCTCACAACAGCCTGCTTGTTCAAACAAGGACAATCTTTTACACTAAAACCTTCTAATGTGAAGTTTCATGAAATGTTATTTCATCAGAAAGATGTCTTACTCCCTTCATGGGTTTTTCTCTGTCACACCAAGCACGTCTGCCACGCGGTTTGGTGCTTTGGAGGACATGGTCAATAGTCGCTGTCTATTGGAGGGGAAGTAGAGTGAGGCTTCAAGGCTGCATCAGTGAACTGCAACCAAACATTCTTGAGTGTGCTTTGAGAGCTTTTGTTCTGTGTGTTGACATGGTAATTCCTGTGTTGTGATGGTTTCAACGTTGCCAGAGTTCTTCTAATGTTGTAACAAATACTGAATCACCATTCGCTACCACTTTCACACTTGGATTTTTTCTGAGTAGTTTATAACTGAGACACTGATATTCTCTTTCATCAACTGTTTAGCTTTATGTCAAAAAGATCGTCAAATGTTCAAAAGGCATGAGACTTACATAATTAAACCTATAACCCATCTGTCCATCAATTATCAATATTCTGTACTTCTAGTTTCATCTAACCCTCTGATATTTTTGGAATATTTTGAAACAAATTCTCGCTGTAAGAGGATATTGACTCTCAATGTTTGAGTGTAATTTTGAGAAACAGGAAAGTTTATACAATATTATCACAATCCTGTTATAGCAACAAAATTACCAATAATCTAGCAGTTTATCTAAATCCTTCTCCATTCTCTCCATTTGCATATCCAAAAGGCCTGCATACTTCCTTTGATATAATTTTCTCAAATTCATAAACATTGTTTCTGCCATTTATTTTTTTTCATCTGGGTTTCCAGTAGAGCTTCTGATTCTTATTCAGATAATTGTATTTTCATGGAGTCACTTAGCATGACCCTCTCTCATATTCCCTGGAAACTTTGACAGAGGCTTGATTACATCCACATGGAATATTTTAACGAGAATACTTAGCATGCAATGTTGTTTACTTCTGATTACTTCAGATTGGGAAGTACTAGGTACGCGAATTATTTACTTAGAAGGTGATACTAAAATGCAAGAGTATTCGGCGGCAGACAACTTAATTCTTGGCATGGATTTCCATCATGCCTCTTAATTGTTTAGCAGCTATGGATTGTTATTGTACAGACTCATCGTTCCCTTTGTTATTTGTGCTGGATCGATTTGTGTCAACTATATTCAAGTTAAAGACATCTGAGAAGAAGGAACTCAATTAAGAAAATGGCAACGTAACATCCAGCTGTAGGGCATGTTCTTGATTAGTGATTGATGGGGAAGACCCGACCAATTGTGAGTAGTGCCATCCCTGGACTTGTGGTCGTGGGTTCTATAAAAAAGCAGCCAGATAAAACCATGGCGAGCGAGTCAGGAAGCAGCATCTCTCCATGGCCTCTGCCTGCATGAGCTCCTGCCTCCGGGTTCCTGTTCTGTTTGCGCCCTATCCTGACTTCTTACAAAGATGGACTACAATGTGTAATGTTAAACAGATAAACCCTTTCCTCCCCAACTTGCTTTTGGCCATGGTGTTCTATCATAGCAATATGAACCTAATATCTAAAACATTATTTTAAAAGACAAAGTTTGAATTCTTCTATTTATCTTACTTTATTTTAAAATAGTATTTAAATTTCCCCCAATTTAACTCTTTGTCTGGTTTGCAATGTGTTCACATACACAAAGAAAAGGATAATATCTGATTCTTTCTTTATCATTATTCAAAGTCAGTATTTGAGACCAAGGCATATTTTATAAATGTCCATAAATAATTTTAGTGGGTAAAATATTATATTTACTTGAAAATAGCAGTGTATGTGCTTATGAGGTAAATTAAGGATTGATCAAATCAGGTTCATTAATATGTCTGTCATTTCATGTACTCTGCAATTTTTATGGTGAATTACTTAAAATCTTTTTTTCTTTTTTTCTTTTAACTCCTTTTTTAAGACAGAATTTCATGTAATGCAGTATGGTCTCAAACTCACTATATAAATAAAGACGAGTTGAGCTTTTATGTTAATTTGTTTTTTCGTTTCAGTGCCTATGTGTATAAGTACATTGTATTATTGTACATGTGCATGTGTGTGTGTGTGTGTGTGTGTGTGTGTGTGCAAGTGTGCACACCCATAGGGGCACATACGGAGGCCAGAGGAGATTTTCAGGTGGGGGTCTTTAATTAACTTGGAGCTCAGTATTTTAGCTACACTGGTTAGTCAGTGAGTTCCTAAGATCTTCATATGGTCATATCTGGCATTTATGTGGTACTTGAGATTTGAACTCAGATCCTCATGCATGCATAGAAAGAACTCTTACTTGAGCCATGTCCCCAGCATGAGCTCGGATTATCTGGTCCTCTTATCCCCACCAAAATTTTGAGTGCTAGGATTACATGTATATTACAACACTAGGTTTATGCAGTCCCTAGGCTAAAACAAGAGGCCTGTAAATGCCAGGAAAATGCTCTACCAAATAAGCTACATCTTCATCTGTTTTTTAAATTTCAGTATTAGCTTACAGATTTCTATAGTTTTCTAATTGAGGAAATATCTCAGACTCAACTTCTACATTCTGCTCCCCATATCTGGAGGGACTCCCACTATGAAATTCCCTGGACTGTTTTGGAAAAAAATAATATTCTAAAAACACAATCTGGAAGTTAGTGTTTCTTTACAGCTTATCACAATGGGAAAATTATACAGTGAGTAGGTGCATGTAGAAAAACACAAGTAGGAATAAATATGCCATGAATGTATGTATATATGCATGTATATACACATGCCCATAGTTTAGAAATTACTATAGCACATAGGTAAATGGCTATACTGGTATTGTGATCCTGTGAAGAATACTCTGAGTTATATGAGGACAACTTGGAATTTGCAAGTAGTGAGAGGCATTATTTTAATTCTTGTTGGTTGATAACTTAGAAGCCCAAGGATTCATTTTCTAAGATAAAAATCTCTCCAGATGCTGATAAGATTACACAGCTGTCCTTAGAGATTTTCATTTTCTATATGTCAACACTGAGACATCTATTCCAAGAAGTTCCATTGTTCATGGCTCCCCAGAGAATATATAAACATTCTGCAAGTGGCCAGACCCTACACATTGCAAACACATGGATGAAACAACTAACCAAAGGGCTGCTGTGTCCTGACTCACTGCTTACTTGAAATTTATTACCAGTGACAAATGTTGATCACCATGTACATAAGGAATAAACAAACTAAAGATAGTTTCATCATTTAAATGAATCTTGAGGTATTGGAGCAAATATTTCTGACCATAACTAAAAGTGGTAAGGCTGTAAATTGAAAAACTGTAGAAAACTGTAGCTTTTGTTGTACTCCATTAATTTCATCTTTCATGTGTTCACTAATTGGTCATGAACCTGTTGTTAGCTAGAGAATTTTGTCTTTGGAATTTAACTATGACATCCAAAGTAGTTAAGTTCAGTCACATATTTTATTGCTGGATGATATGTTCATCTCATTAATAACTATCAGAAATTGTGTAAGTGCCTTGACTGAGAGATGACTGTGAAAGAGAAGTCTAGAAAGATACCGTGGAGAATGAAGGGGAAAGTACCAGAAAGCAAATACACTGTCTGGAAAAGCAACAGTCTTGTCAGTCACATAATGTGTGTTTTGAGGATTGCTCAGTGTTTTTTAATTCATTCTCATTAAATCCTCTGGGACAGATATGAATTTATTCCATATTTTATGGATAAGGGAAACATTTATAGAGAGTTTGTGATGATTCAAAGTCAGGTATAGTTTCTTAACATGTATCTTGAGTTATCATGCTAAGGTCCATGCAAGGACCTTGGAGAAGGTTTTTAATCTCTTGTCATGCACAGATCTTTTGTCTTCATGGTCTCAGCTTCCACTTGTGAAAATGTCACAGTATTCATCTGACAAAGGAATAATTAAAAGAATGATCCCATAATAGTTATCAAACAAGCCTTCTACCTGGCTCCAAGCACTTCACCACACAACAACTTTGTCACCATTAGCTGAGAATGTGAGTAAATGCTGGCATAATTTCTCATCACCAGAATCTGAAAATGACATGTCTGTTAGGAAATCCAGGGCGTAACTATGAGTTATTTTAGATAGAGAAGTCTACTCTGTTAGCACAAGAAAAGAAACAGTGTTTTCTCTTGACAGAAGTAGCTCTCTCTGAAACAGGCATTTTATAAAATAGTTCATACTCTGTGACTTCACTTTTAGCTCAATTATTCATGGAACACCTTAACTCAACTTCTACACAATATTCAGTAATGAGGGAAAATGGGAGTGATGTTACATATAACGATATTTTATCTCTGGACAGTTCTGTAAATATAAGTGTTTATGGCATTGTTTATTGGATTCTTTGCTCTTTCTAAGCTGAAGTACAAATATTTCTAAGTTGGTTCATTTATCAGGCCTGTAAAAATGTTTCCCAATATCTTTTTTTTATATATAATTCTGCCACTGTGTAGTTTGTCAAGATACCAAAATTATTGTGAACTGGTTATTTTATTATTAATGCCTTTAAATTACCATTAAATTTCACTTCAACTAACATGTATAAGGAATGACCTCCAATGTACCTTTTAAATTATTCTTTGAAAAATTAAAATGCTTATAGATTGTATCTTCATCATATCTAACACCCTCCTTCCTCCACTCCCTCCCCACATCCATACCTCCTACCCCAAATACAACTGCCTTCCACCTCTACGTCTTTGCTTTTCTGTTAGGAGTAAATTTTCATTTTTAGGTATATGTGTGCACCTGTGCGTTTGTGCATGTGGTTTTGTATACAAGTGTGTGTGAGTTCATGTGTGTGAGTACAGTACTTGTGTAGTTCATAAGGGAGAATAAGATCCCATGGATCTGGGGGTGCAGTTGTGAGCTGCCTGAGGTGGTGCTGGGGCTATCTCAAGTCCTTTAGAAGAGCAGTCAACACCCTGACTACTGAGCCATCTATCCAGCCCCCCCCCATGTCATGGTGTAGGAGATCCTTTTGTTTCTGTGTGCTTTTATTGGCTAATTAATAAAGAAACTGCTTGGCCTGATAGGGCAGAACTTAGGTAGGTGGAGAAGACAGAACTGAATTCTGGGAGAAGCGGAGTGAGAGAGCCACCATGGAGATGCCAGGTCAGACATGATAAATCTTTCCTGGTAAGCCACGACCTTGTGGTTACATACATATTCATAGAAATAGGTTAAATCAAGATGTGAGAGTTAGCCAATAAGAGGCTAGAGCTAATGGCCAAGCAGTGATTTAATTAATACAAATTCTGTGTGGTTATTTTGGGTGTAAGCTAGCCGGGCAGCCAGGACGAAAAGCAGACCCTCTCCTCCTCCTGTTACAATGTCCAATTAGTTCTGCCGGTGTATGCATAGGTACACGGGTGTGCGTTGTTATCTCCTGGGGCGCTGGCAATATTCCAGTTGCCCCCCCTACCCCCCCCCCCGCCCAAGAAAAATGATTCTCCCTCTCCCAACAGCCCTCCCTTCCGATAGCTCCTTGGTAAGGTTAGACCTCAGGAGCCCAACCTGTCTATGTGGTAGAGTTTTTAACTGCCTTGATGTGTGCAGATAACCACAGTTACTGTGAGTTCATGTGAGCTACGCCCATGTCGTGCCCAGAGGACCAGCATTTCACAGTAACTCCTCACCATTATGTTGTTATTCTACCTCCTCCTGTGGGATGCTCCCTGGGCACTGGCATGGAATTGGGCTCCCATGTATAGCTAAACACCCACAGCCACTAATGTTTAGCATTTGGAACAGTTTTGAGTCTCTCGTTAACAACTACCCACTGCAATAGGATGCTTCTATGCCCAGGGGTGAGTTCAAGGCAAATCTGTGGACATATATAGAAATACTTAGAGGGCAGTATGACAACATGACCTTCTAGCAAAATAACACCAATAGGTTCAGTTTTGGAACTTCCATAGTCATGTGCTTTGACCAAGTTTACAACAGCAGGCGTGGAATCCCCACCGTGGAGCAGATCTTGGTTCTAATTAAGAGAGTGGTCAGTGAACCCCATAAACAGTCTTGCTACTATTGCCAACAAGGGGTACATCTTGTCTGACAGATCAGCATGGTTTAGTATACGGCGTCAAACACTGGGTAATCCTATTGATGTCTTATGTTTCCCAGAAGCCAGAAAAGCACACCCCAGCCTTGTGCAAGCCAGACAACATGGAGATAGTTTCCTGGTTGGTTCAGGATTGGCTTCTCTATGTTCTACAGCCAGAGTGTGTGGCGTCTTCAGCAACAGGGCCTTACAATCTAAAGACATGCTCTTTGTTAAATCAATTTCCTTAGAAAGTCAGTATCTTGCTTTTGTAACAATAATCCATGCAGAATTTTAAAAAAAATGAGCAAATAAACAACGTTTTTCTTTCTTGACCCTTTTATTATGAAATACACTGTGTCTATCCAGCTGTGTGGCTCTGGGCCAGTAATCTGAGTCACTGCCCTACATTCTCCATGGACAAACAGGAATTAACAGAAAGGAAAGACAAGGATTCAGCTCTTGGGTTTTGCTTACAGTAATACACCAGGGGAGGGAGGCTATTGTGTGATTTTTCAGTGAACTTTGATTTGTCATAATTCTTTGAAATCACGATATTCCAAGCTTTGGGTTAGTTGGAGGAGATCAAAGAGATGGAGTTAGGATGAGAAGAGAAGTGGTCCTGGAAGAAAATTTTGATTATGTTTTCACTAGGAAATCCCTTGATAATGTTAACAAATACTTCCACTAAAATGTCATGGAAGCAAAACATCACTGATGAAGTGTAAAATGAATGTGTCTCAAATCCATAAAAATTGCAATACTTTAGCAGAATGTAGAAATCTCTTCTGTTTTTAATATCCACGTCCCTCTCTTTGGCCATGTATGCACGTGTGCGCACGTGAGTGTTTGTGCGTGTGTTGGTATTAACACCTGGAATGAATCTTACAAACTATGTTGTGAAATATGTTGAAATATTCATGCTTGTTTTGTAGCTAGCTTCAGTAATGTTCGGGGACACTGTCAGTCCCGTCCTGACGGATTCTGTCAGAGTCTAGGCTGACACTCATTCGCATGACCTCATTTTATACACGTCCCCAGTCCCTTTCCACCATTGTCCCTTTCTCTCTTCCTCTAATATCAGCAATGACAAAAAAAAAAGTCAGTGAATCATGGGTCATTAGTGTTTAGCAAGCCCCACACTGTCTAGTAATTACATGATATCAGCAACTGACTCACATGGCCAACTTGCACTTGGATTCAAGGCAGGTTACACACATGGACTGAATAACATTGGCGGGACCCAGCTGGTTCTAATTAAAGAGCAATTGTTTGCATTGACAATTAGATGAGGAACAGATCCACCAAGCGGATTCCCATGCCACGTCCACAAGAAACTTTAACACGCCAGCAGCAGAGACTGGTGGAGACTGGACTCCCACGCCCTGCTTCTTTCCCTGAGGGGAAGAGCAGCGGACAAGGGCAAAAGTGAATCTGAGGGCGAAGATGCGCCACGTAGCTGCAAGAGAAAAAGGGGAAGTATAAACAGAATGAGAAATGAAGGCTCCTCCTGATCTGTCAGAGAAGTAATAAGAACATAAGCATTCTCGAATGTCGGGAAATTGTTCAGGAAGCTCCAAACTACAACAGATGTATTGACTCTCCTTTATTAGTTTACCCTTCTTCCTTTAGATAGAGAAGACATAATTCTTCTTTTTATGATGTATGGAAGTTGACCTAGAAACAAAGTTACTTCTGCGTAAAAAAATGGGGCTTGAGGTTGTTGTGAGGGATCCCTGTGAACGTACTTAATCAAACGCATAATGCATGTTTTGTCAGGACAGAATTCGTTACAACTCCAAGCTTCTCCAAATGGCTTCAAGTCCAGTTTTCAAGAACAGTAAAAAGCCCGTCATTTTCTTGTGGTCTCTAACAGTTAAGTGTTGTATAAATATTGTTGACAGTGTGACTGCTGTTATTTTTATTCTGTCCTTGCTTGGTCCGTTTACTGAAGCCTCCTCTGGTAAAGCTCTGGAAAGCTTCAAGTACATACAATAAAAAACAATGATGAACTACTTCAGGAATTCAGCTTCAGTAAGCACCACACAGACAGTAGACTTGTTGGAGCTGGAAATGTTGTAGCGTATGGTATAAATATCCATATGACGGGACAAAAGGACAGTGGGAATCTCAGGCTTCTTCCTTGTGCTTCAGTAAACCAAAGTTAAGAGCACATACTAGAGAATGGAGAAATGGGACACACGTGGGAGAGAAGGCCAGAGACAAGAGGAAGTTGTGAAAGGACGGGGAAAAGGGAGGGAACTGAATTCTGAGCCAAAAATGGCTTCCAGTGTCTGCAGCTTTCTCAACAGGGGAGGAGCTACTAAAGCCATCCAGCTAGTAGGTTGCATTGCTATATATCTTTGAAAAGATGAGGTTAGCCCACAGAGATGAAGCTAACACGCTACTGGTAAGATTTTACTTTTCATTTTTGATGCAAAGACAAAATATTAGGAGCCTGAAGACATATTCATGAATTTTGAGTCTGATAATGTCAAAAAGCTCAGAGATGGTCGTACAACATAATATTTGAGTTTCCCTTGTGTTGTTTTGCTATCATCACCTAGCAAGTTTAATCTCTCTCCTCCAAATGACACACTTTGGTTTCAACTGTCTTTTCCCAAGAAAATAAGATTATCATTGTTTCAGGAATAGACTGTGTATTTTCTGTGCATTTCTTGCCCATAGAGGGACAAAGACTATGCTAACAAAGCAATGTAAATAAAGTCGTTTGAAAAGAGGAGAAAGCACTACTTTAATAACCATTGTGTAATGTCTTCAATAAAGGAAATAAAATTCCTATCAGGAAAGAACTATTCTTTTGAACAACACTTTGTAGGCCGTTAAGTTACAGAAGCTCCAGCATCTATGCGGGAAGCCGATAAACACAAACATTATTTGACTAACGTGGTAAAGGGCATTGGCTTCATTTGTTCTACTGCTACTTGTAAAGTAATGGGTTGATTACATTAGTTCTTGATCAGTGGCAGGGTGATGGTGAGCAGTGAGTGTCTTAACATTCCAAGGGACCACCCCAGAGTCACAAGAGCAGATGCCAGGAGAAGGGTAGTCACAAACAACCCATTAGCTTTGGAATAGGCAGAAAATGGAAGAAATGTGGTATCTGTATCTAGCTTTGGATGATCTCCCGTTTTACACCGCATCTGTCTTCCATCATCACCAAACCATCAGTACAACCTGCCATACAAAAGAGCCTCGTGGAAGTGGGTACCTAGGGTGATATATGTGCATACTTGGGAACTGCATGACATAGAAAGAGAACAGCTCCTTGAGCAAGGAGACAGTGACGACTAAAGGGGTTCAGGAAGAACGAGAAAGTATCCAAGAGAAAACACACACGCCCTAGTTATCCAGCTGTTTAGATTCGGGCATTATTCTGGCTCCTGTCACCTAGCAGGATGAACCCAGACAATGTAGTCTGTATACAGATGCAAAGGTCCCTTTAAGAAATAACCTCCACCCATTTCAGTTCCTCTCTGTTCCTCTGAAAGGATGGGCAAGGTTTTTCCTACCCCCTTCTTCTTCTCTCTCTCATCTCTTTCCCTAGTTCCCTTCCCTTTCCCCACTTTCTTTACTTCCCCCAATAAAACTTCCCACTTAAGTTTTATCTGCCTGACCATAGTTTTCCCTCACCCACTCTCTTTCTGCATGATATATCTGTCTGTCTCTCATCTACCGTGGTCTCTCACTCATTAAGGGACCAGATGCAGCTTTGGGGGACCTGCTGCTGCCCCTCGTGGGACCGATCCCCCACCATATGTTTATAGATAAAACAATAACAGCATGCAAGAAGCTTCCACTTAGTCATAGGCACCTCTGTGTGTAAGTACAGTCTGCCTGTTCGCAGGTAGCTTAAGGAAAATTGAACACATATGTTAGGCTTGGAAATGTGATTTGCTCTCATCAAAAACTGACTGACCCTTTTCTTCAAGATAAATCTATCAAGGAGATCCACAGTGATCCTTATAATTCTGGGAATTGACACTGTTGTTAATAATAAAAGCTATCAAGAGATAAAAGTCAAAAATAAAAATATTTCTGACTGCCTAGAGAAATCTCCCAAATTACTGAACAATGATGTGTATATTTCAAGATGTAATACACTTTGGATACTAGAGCTTATATTACTAAAATTAATAAATTTTAGCACAAAAAAAACATACTTATTTTATAACCCCTGTTTAAAAGATGAATATCTCAAATAGGATGTTCCTCGGACTACTTTATTTAACAAGTTACTCAATCTCTCATTGAATGGTAGGGCTTCTCTGGTGTTGAGAAGACCAATATATATGAAGCCATGCAACTTACTGCATTCTACTTAGCTACATAAATCATATTAGGCTAATTATTCATTTAAATGGTAGGAGGTACTCTAGTATTAGATTCTTTGTACCATACAGCTATTTATTTACTGATAATTTGCTTTTATAAAAATCAGTCATGTTTATGTTATTGAGACCATGTTCAAGTATGCTCATCCGGGAACAATTAAGAGGTATGGAAATTAATATCAAATATGTTTTCTTTCAATTATGCTCTTGACAGCTGCTAGAGCTACCATTCTTGGATGGCTGAACTCCTATAAGAAGACTGACATAAACTAGTTCACATATCCACATAACATGATCACCTATACCATGTCACCCTAGGGTAGATAGAGACCTTCTCATCTTTTGGACATTCTTCTCTTTTTCCATTCTTTGGGTCTTTTTAAATGAGAATTATTTGTTTTCTCAACTACTAGAAATATACTTATTTTGAAACATGATTTAGAGATATTTAGATGTTCTAATTTTATTTAATTTACTACACCTGTAATAACTAACGTCTGTATTTAGATAAACAAAATATCACTGAATCCTATCATTTTCCTCTAATGGAATTGCATCAAGCCCACAGCGTTTGCCCAGTTCTGGCGACTGCTGGGGTTATGAAACAGCACAAGAGAGTTTGGGTATAGAGTTTATTTAGTAGTTTATAAAAGGGAAAAGAAAGGAGAAGGAGTGGGGAAGGGGAAAAGCTGGGGTAAAGGGAGACAGGCAGTGCTGTGGGACAAATGTCTTTTATCCTGTTACTTGTATTATTTTTTAATAAAACTCTTGTTGGCCAGTAGTCAGGCAGAAAGTATATGCAGGTAGACCAGACATGAAGTAGAGGCGGGGGGGGGGGGGGAGAGGGGGGCAGGAGAATTCTGGGAAGAAGAAAGCTCAATCTGCAGTCGTGACCCAGATGCAGAAGAAACAAGATGTGATTGCCTTGCTGAGTAAGGTACTGAGCCATGTGGCTAACATAGACAAGAATTATGGGCTAATAAAAGTTTTAAGAGTTAATAAGAAGCCTGAGCTAATGGACCACTCAGTTTGTAATTAATGTAGACCTCTGAGAGGTTTCTTTGGGACTTAACGACTGCGAGAACCAGGCAGGACAAAAAAAACTCAGTCAACAAGGCAGAAGCAGCTTCTCCAGAAGAAGGGCAGAGAAAAAGAGGGTCTGCTTGCCTCAGCAGAAGGGTGGTAGGTGGGAATGGGAGGGGCTTCTTTCTTAAAGGGCCAGGGTGCCAGATGACAAAGCAGTCCAGCAGATTATAACGGTCCCAACTTTTTCTTATAATAAAATAGGCATTTAGGCATTTCAGGTTGAGGGAATTGGGATGGCAGATTCTCAAGCCTGCTACCTGCTTATCTGTGGGCATCATCTTGAGGAGGCTGAGAAAGCTGAGTGCTGGTCACATCCTGGGGTAACTGGCTGTTTTACTCTTATCCAAAATTTGTGATGTGGAACTGTCCTGTGTCTCTTGGACCTGGCAAGGTGTTGGCAGAACAGAGGACAAAGTTAGTTTAAGAAGAAAAAAAATTCAGGGCCAGGGAATTGAGAGGGGTGTATCTGACCTGTATAAGGTGGCTCCTACAATTCAGCTCCCTAGAACTCACAAGAAATTTTGAGTTTGTGAAACCATAAGTTTTAGACCTATACCTTGTTTAAACAGCAGAGCATATTCGTGTCAGAATGACGGTGACCAATGTTTTGCGCAATTAAAAGTATTTTTAACACTATGAAAGGCAGCATGAGAGAGAAATTTGATAACTTACATTTGTCCTCATATTTTTATAACTTGCAGCTATACGCCTTAATAACTTGCATTCGTATATCTTAATACACCCTTCATTTAGAACTTGTTAAGATGTTATACTGAAATGTGTTTGGTGATTTTGTCCTTTTAAACTGATAAAAAAAAACTCTCAGCCGTTAAACTGAATCAGAGATCTCTGAGGAGGATAAAATTTTACTTGAGTTATTGATTTAAAAACTTTTTAAAGTTATTGATTTAAAAAAAAACCATACATTTAAACAGAATTACATCTGTGTGGTCACACCATTCACATATTCATACATAGACAGGAAAATTATTCAGCACTGTGAGCCACTGAGCCACCA